ACCTATCCCGGAGGGCTCCATGGGCTGAAGTGGGAGGGGAACCAGCCCCTAGTGGGCTGGTGCGCCCCCCATGGGCCTCCCCTGCGCCTAGGGTTGGAAACCCTAGGGGTGGGGGCGCCCCACTTGGCTTGGGGGGCACTCCACCCCCCTTGGCCGCCCCCCCTTGGAGATTCAATCTCCTAGGGCCGGCGCCCCCCCTAGGGGTCCTATATATAGTGGGGGGAGGGAGGGCAGCCGCACCCTAGCCCCTGGCACCTCCCTCTCCCTCCCGTGACACCCTCCCTCTCCCTGAGCTTGGCGAAGCCCTGCCGAGATCACCATTGCTTCCACCACCACGCCGTCGTGCTGCTGGATCTTCATCAACCTCTCCTTCCCCCTTGCTGGATCAAGTTGGAGGAGACGTCTTCCCAACCGTACGTGTGTTGAACGCGGAGGTGCCGTCCGTTCGGCGCTAGGTCATCGGTGATTTGGATCACGACGAGTATGACTCCATCAACCCCGTTCTCTTGAACGCTTCCACGCGCGATCTACAAGGGTATGTAGATGCACTCCCCTCTCCCTCGTTGCTAGATGACTCCATAGATTGATCTTGATGATGCGTAGAAAATTTTAAAATTCTGCTACGTTCCCCAACATCTTCCTCACTATATATAGTGGGAAGGAGGGAGGAGGAGGCGCCCTAGGGTTTCCCTAGGGGAGGGGCGGCGGCCATAGGGGAAACCCTAGATGGGTTTGGGTGCCCCACCCCTAGGAAACTTGCCCCCCAAGCCGGGAGGGGCGACTGCCCTAGGGGAGGCGCCCCCACCTCTCCAGGTTATGTGAGATGGGGTGGGGGGCGCACAACCCCTTAGTGGGCTGGTGTGCCCCCGCCCCTTCGCCCACAAGGCCCCTCAACGCTTGCCAGGGCCTCCGAAACTCCTTTCGATCACGCTGGTCGTCACCGGTACTCCCAGAACAATTCCGGACTCAAATACCCTTCATCCAATATATCAATTTTCACCTCTGGACCATTCCGGAGTTCCTCGTCACGTCTGGTATCTCATCGGGACTCCTAACAACCTTCGGTAACCACATACTATTCCCACTATAACTCTAGCGTCACTGAACCTTACGTGTGTAGACCCTACGGGTTCGGGAACCATGCAGTCATGACCGAGACACCTCTCCGGCCAATAACCAATAGCGGGATCTGGATACCCATATTGGCTCCCACATGTTCCACGATGATCTCATCGGATGAACCACGATGTCGGGGATTCAATCAATCCCGTATACAATTCCCTTTGTCCATCGGTATATTACTTGCCCGAGATTTGATCGTCGATATCCCCATACCTCGTTCAATCTCATTACCGGCAAGTCTCTTTACTCGTTCTGTAACACATGATCCCGTGGCTAACTCCTTAGTCACATTGAGCTCGTTATGATGATGCATTACCGAGTGGGCCTAGAGATACCTCTCCGTCATACGAAGTGACAAATCCCAGTCTCGATTCGTGCCAACCCAACATACACTTTCGGAGATACCTGTAGTGCACCTTTATAGCCACCCAGTTACGTTGTGACGTTTGATACACACAAAGCATTCCTACGGTATCTTGGAGTTGCACAATCTCGTGGTCTAAGGAAATGATACTTGACATTAGAAAAGCTCTAGCAAACGAACTACACAATCTTGTGCTATGCTTAGGATTGGGTCTTGTCCATCACATCATTCTCCTAATGATGTGATCCCGTTATCAATGACATCCAATGTCCATGGTCAGGAAACCACAACCATCTATTGATCAACGAACTAGTCATTTAGAGGCTCACTAGGGACATGTGGTCTATGTATTCACACATGTATTACGGTTTCCGGTTAATACAATTATAGCATGAACAATAGACAATTATCATGAACAAGGAAATATAATAATAACTATTTTATTATTGCCTCTAGGGCTAATTTCCAACAATATTTGGGTATGCCATCTGATGTTGGTCCATCTAAAACGTGTGCTTTCAAGTACCTAATAGACATATTATGGTGAAAGAGTGAAGGGTTGGACTGAGAAAACCATCTTAGGGGCGGACAAAGAAATTCTAATTAAATCGGTACCGTAGGCCGTTTCGGTTTTTCTCGATATCATTCTTTAAATTTCCAAGGGGTCTCTGTAAAAAACTGAACAAGCTTATCGATCAGTTCTTCTGGGGCTATAGAGAGGGGCAGCGAAAACCGCACTAGATTTCTTGGAGATCTATGACTCGACCGAAGAAGTGTGGTGACTTGAGGTTTCGGGATCTCAAGCTCTTCAACTTAGCTTTGTTGGCTCGACAGTCATGGCGCCTTCTCACCGTGCCTGAATCCCTTTGTGCTTGGTTGCTCAAGGCCACCTACTATTTCAAACATTGACATTCTCAATGTCGAATTGGGTTTCACCCATCTCATGTGTGGAGGTCTATCTTCGAGGCTAGAGATGCACTATCACATGGCCTCATTAGGCACATCGGCGACGACACAACCACGCGGGTATTCCATCTCTGGTTGTTGCCAGATGTCGTGGGCTGAGGCTAGACTTGGGTGCTGCAGGCCGGCCGCCGACAGTGAGCGGATGTGACACCATGACCTCGCGCCATGAGATGTTTGTGATATCGGCACACCTTCTTTATGGTTCATGACAGCGTGTGTGCTGCGAGCAGGTTGCGCCGAGCTACGAGCGGTGTTGTGGATTCCGATCGATGATATTTATGGAAGGTGGTTGGCGTTGCATGAGAGGGGTGAGTGCCACCACAATGCGGGGAATGGAATTGGCGTTGCTGCAAAGGAGTGGTGCGTAGGGAACAGAGATTTGCTGCAAGTCGGTGCTGCAACGATGGCATCATTGTGAGGCACCGACAGTGCTGGGAGTGCGCTGACATGATGTGAGGCACCCATGCCGTGTCGGGGAGGCGTGGAGGACGAAGGATGCTGAGAGGCGTGTGATGAGATGGACCGTGGACAACTATGATTGCTGCAAAGGAGTGGTCCGTGGGGAACAAAGATTTGTTGCAAGCTTGTGCTGCAACGACGACCTCATTGTGAGGCACCGTCGGTGCTGGGAGGGCGCCGACATGGTGTGAGGCACCCATGCCGTGTCAGGGAGGCGTGGAGGACGAAGGATGCCTAGAGGCGTGTGATGAGATGGATCATGGAAGGCTATGATTGCTGCAAAGGAGTTGTGCATGGGGAACAGGAATTTGTTGCAAGCCGGTGATGCAACGACGACATCATTGTGAGACACTACTGGTGCTGGGAGGGTGCCGACATGATCTGAGGCACCCATGCGGTGTCAAGGAGGCGTGGAGGACGAAGGATGCTAAGAGGCGTGTGATGAGATGAATCGTGGACGACTATGATTGTGTGGATCCGATGGTGAGGCGGTTGGTTGTTCCGTCGTGATCATCTCAAGAGGCGTGTGACGAGAAAATGGAGGCGATGAGAGAAAGAAGAATTGTAGTTGTGGTGGGTTGTCGCCGACGGAGGTGAGGCAAGGAGTTAATGGACTTGAGTGTGGGGTGCAGGAGGTTGCGGGCGCCGAAGACAGCGGCAGGGTTTAGATACAGGGAAGAATGTAGCTCATGACAGTCACGTTCATCGCCTACATGTTGTATGCATTATCTTTTTTTTAACACAATACAGACGCAAACACTCATATACACGTGCATACACTCACCCATATGAATGCACACACGCACACCCTACCTTTATGAGCATATCCGAAAGACTGAGCCGGCATATCATCTTAAAATTTACAAAGTCATCATAGGCACCTTATCATCGACGGGAACGTCTCCTCCCACTGAATGCGCATCGCCGGAAATCTTGAAATAAATTCAGAAATGAATGCGAACACCAGGGTTTGTATGCATTGTTGGCGTATGAACATAGACTATCTGCATTGTTGCCCCTAGCACGCGCATTTAACTAGTAAAAAAAAAGCCCTTGTCATAAAAAAAAGGCGCTTGCCCTCCTAGTAGTTTGTTCTCTCTCTTCTTCCGCTTCTCTTTCACCTCTCTTCCTCACTCAACGCGAACCAGAACCCGACGGAGGCGTGGCTCGCCGCGAGATGGTAAGCACGACCCCCCTCCCCATTGCCACGCCTCCACCCTCCCCCGCCCTGCCCAGGGGTCGGCTGCATCCGCACATGTGATCCGCGCGGATCTAGCCCTGCGCTCGTTCAGGATCTGTTCGTCTCTGTCGTTTTGGATTCGCTGAGGGGTTTGCGATCGATCTGGCGAGCCCTTAGGGTTTTGGCGGGGAAGCGGGGTGTTCGTTGCGCCATTTAGCGGGGGCGTAGCGGTGGATTGGTTGTAGCCGCTGCCTCGGCCCAGCTCTTTGGAATGAGGGACGCATGTGGTTTCTGCGCCATTTCTCATCAGCCGTTCGTGGTATCGCGGATATAGTATCGGCGAATTCGCAAAAGCAGTTAGGTAGGTTGCTCGCTGAACCAAGTGATCATGTTCCCTTGTTGCCATGGAGTGGTCTGCGATGAAGTGGCTGTTTCTAGGGATCGTGCCAGTGGGTGATTGGGTGCTAGGCTCTGCGTTCACAGATTAGTGGACTGAAATTTCGTTAATGGAGCCGTATGTGTTCGGACTCTAAGTGTTCACTAGTAGCACGTGAATCAAGGTCAGTCGGTGCTTTGCGATACAATTTGTTGCAAAATGCTCTGGTGAGTACATTCCATGTGTCGTCACCAGCAATAATGTGCATTTATCTTACAAATATTTTTTCGGTCATCATCATGGCCATAGTCTCTGAGCCTGTTATATTCTGTAACTATGGAGAATATGCTGGACATTCACTGTTGCTTGAGATATTAAGCTGTTAGTATTTGAGATATATGGGTCACTGATAAGTAGGATACACTATACCGAAGTGAACATATCAGAACTATTTACTAGCTCTCCTCTGCTTTTCTGTGCAGGTGGCACTTTTACATTAGCGATGCTAGTTTGTGTCTTGTTATCTTTTCAAAATGGTGAAGCTGACAATGATAGCCCGTATCACTGATGGCCTTCCATTGGCGGAGGGGTTAGATGATGGTCGAGATCTGAAGGATGCTGACTTCTACAAGCAGCAAGCAAAACTGTTGTTCAAAAACTTATCTAAAGGCCAACACGAATCATCAAGGCTGTCAATCGAGACTGGACCGTACTATTTCCAGTATCCTTAACCTTTATGTCATCTGCAGCATTTTAGTTTCTTCTTTGCGAAGCATGTGATCTTTCTGTTACTCCCTCTGGCCCATAATATAAGATCGTTTTGCAAGCTGTTTTAGCTTGCAAAACGATCTTACAGCTTGCAAAGCGATCTTATATTATGAGACGGAGGGAGTACTGTTTTGTCAAAGTTTTCTGTGCCAAAGGGGAATAGAATCATGCAAGTCTATGCAGCCTAATTAGATAACTAGCTTATACTCCCGCTGTTCCAAATTACTCGTCGTGATTTTAGTTCAAATTTGAACTAAAACCACGACGAGTAATTTGGAACGGAGGGAGTACTTCCTGAATCCTTCATGTTTATGATGATCTGTGATTCCTTTTAGTTGCTTCATTGGTAGTCAAAGTTGCTTCTGCAAGTCGATTTTGGGAATTTGAGTACCTGTACAAGTCTAGGCCACACATTTAAATATCAGATACAAGGAGAACAATTAATTTTTCATCTCGAAGCAGTTTTGTGGCATAATGCACATTCTTATTTTCTGTTAGCGCTTAATTTGTATAAGAATTGAAATCACCTGGTATGCATTAGCATTTCAAACAGCCAAAGGTAACATACTGCTTATGTGGGAAAAAGGCTGGTGACTTGAATAATGAATAGAAGACACTTTCTTGGGCCTTTTCTCTTTTGCATGTACACCACTGTGTGTATGCTCTGTCATATATGCACCATCTGTCTTCATGATACATTTGTATTTACATTCCATGTAGTAAGATACATTGTTAATTTTGCGAATAGTATACGTGGAGAATCAAATCCTCTTCTGTAGTTTTAGCCTGTTTTCCTTGTAAAATTATCATGGCACTCTTGTTCCACCTTGATTCAACAAAACAGTTACATCATTGAGAGCCGTGTATGCTATTTGACAATGTGTGACCGTTCTTATCCAAAGAAACTTGCATTCCAGTATTTAGAAGATCTAAAAAATGAATTCGAGAGGGTCAATGGTAGCCAAATTGAAACTGCTGCAAGGCCATATGCTTTCATCAAATTTGGTATGGTTCTTCGATCTTATATGGACATTTTTCACATTCAGCTTCTTATTAGCTACTGGGTGATAGCTTATCTGTCTCTGTTTAGATACATTCATACAGAAAACCAGGAGACTGTATTTGGATACCAGAACCCAAAGGAACCTTGCCAAGTTGAATGATGAGCTCTACGAGGTGCACCAGATTATGACTCGCAATGTTCAAGAAGTTCTTGGTGTGGGTGAAAAACTAGATCGTGAGTTTGCCACTGTCATCTATGTTTATTATGTTGAATTGTTACATCATTATGTCTTCTAGATTGATGGACGTGCAAATGATTTGTGCACATATTTACAATTAGCTATATGTAGGTATTTACCTAAAAGGCACCAGTGAGTACAGTTTCTGTTAGGTCCACAAAGTAATTGTGTTTCAACAAACCATGTTGATTTCCCCTGGATTATAGGTTATTATTACACATGCTTCTTTTGGAACCCCTAGCACATGTATAAAAGTATTATGACTGCCTTAATGCTATGTTTGCTTGATACTCCTATTTTTTGAGACATGTTCAAGCTTTGTGTGCATTATTGAACTGGTATTATTTCTGCTTAATGTTACTGTTTTTTAACATTTCATCTTCGTATTTTGAACTGGCTTGCCCCAGCGCTTCCCCTTTAGCATGACTTGTCGTGGTCTGTTCCAGTGTATTATTGCCT